TTGCCATGGCAACCTGGGGTCCAGGCCTGTGTGGCGCTAGAGATGAGCCTGAGCTGAGGGCGTGGAGAGGAGGCTGGGGGCTGGCTGGCTTCTGACCCCCGGCCTGCCAGAGCTGGGACTGGGCCTCGGCCTGGCTGAGCCGCCTGGCTAATCCCACTGGGCCTCGAGGGCGTCCTGTTTCTGCACCCACGCGTAACCAGGCAGCCAAGGGCAGGTGGCAATGGGATTGTCCTTGATTTGGGGCCACCAAGGTAGGCGAGAGACCCGCAGGCCAAGTGCCTGGGCCCTTCTGGTTGCTGTCCAAGTCCCCTACTTCTATCCCACACGTCCCACTGAGGCCCAGGAAATGCCTTGGGACCCTCGGCCTGGAGATGAGGGGAGGGGAGCACAAGTCTTGACGAGTGACAGGCATGGACAGAGGACTCCCAATGCTCAGAGGATGCTCCCTGCCCTCTTTCCTCCTCTGGTCTCCGGGAGGCCTTGGAAGCCAACCTCTTCATGCCCCAGCTGAGTAAACTGAGGTCTGAGCCAGGCTCCTTGGGCGGGATGGCAGCTTTGCCTGGTGGCTAGGGGCTGCCCAGCTCGGTTCCTGGGGAACTGTGTCTTCCTCCCAGGCCCCCTGCCCTGCCCTCCTCTTGAAACACATCATGACTCATGTTATCATGTTCTCGGGGCTGAGTAACCACCTGAGTTATTTATACTCTGGCTTAGCAGGCTTCCTTCCCTCCTCCCTGGTGGCCGAGCCCAGGAGGACATGGTGGGGGTGGCGAGGAACCTGGGAGGGGGGACGCAGCTGAGCACCCCCACATCCCCTCCCCTGGGGCGCCACCCCCATAAAGGCACCCAAAATAACCATGACTGCCCCAGCACAACAGGATGGGCCTGGATCTATGGCATCGATACCTAGGATCAGGACAGTTTGGGGAGGGGGGAATTCCTTTCCCAAGCGAGTCACCCGTCTGGAAAAATAAAGAAGGAAAAAGCTGAAAAATTTCCTTCCATCAAAACAGGAAGGAGCTGGGGAGGTGGGGGTGGACGGGAGATGCAGGGTGGAGGCTGAGATGTGCCCTCTACCCGAGGTGGTCTTCAGGGTGGGGGGCCCTGCAGTCTGTACACAGGACCCAGCTGGCTGTGCCCTGGGTGTCTCCCTCACAGGCCATCTGGGCCCCCAGGGGTGTTTTCCTCCCCTGACTCCCAGGCCTGTATGCTGTGCACAACGGGTGCCCAAGCCTCACTCACCCTCCCCACACAGCCCCAGGTCCCACATGGAGTGTCTCACTTAACCCAGGTGGGCAGACGGGGCATCTGTCCACTGACTTCTCCTCCCTCCCCTCGAGCACTGTCCTGGAGTCCTATGACTCAAGTTCAAGGACACCTCCATCTCTCATCAGCAGAGTGACCCTGGGGAAGCCACCGTTCCTCTTTGAGTCATTTCTTGTCTGTAACAGGGCTGTGGTTGTGGCCAGGCTGCTACCTGAAATCACGGGGACTCTAGGGAACTGTACCGATGGCTTCCGTTCCCTGAGAGGCCAAACATGCTCGGCACTTTCACTCATTCGTCCACTCGATGAACCCCATCTCCAGACTCCGTAGGTTCTGGAACTGGGTTCACCCAGGTCACAGGGCCGGACAGCCAGGACACGGTGGGAGCTGTTCTCACCCAAGGAAAAAAGAAGGGGACCTCGTCAGAGGCCCAGATGGAGGAGGTGGCCCATTTTCCCTGGGCCTCTGCCTTGCACCAGGGACCACTGGTGACAATCTGGTGGCTTCTGCAGGGACAGGCCAGTGGCTGCGGGTGTGTGCACCCGAGGAGCACTGTGCCCAGCCATGGGGGTTACCACTGAGGCCATTAGTCACTCCCGCTGGCCTGGCCTCTGTCTTATGTAACCATGCCCCAGGGTGTCTGTGCAAGTGTCTGGTCTTTCTGTCTGTCTGTCTGCGCACCTGCCTGCCTTGGCCTGTAGGCCCCCGAGGGCAGGGGGCTCTGGAATGTTGAGCTGGCACTGCTATGCCCGGTTCTTTGTGATGACACCGTCATGGGCACCATGCCCATCTGGACACTAGCCCCCATCAGAGTGTGTGTGGACCCCCATTCTACAGGTAAACCGTGTACTCTGCTCTTCCAAGCACAGGACTGTTTCCTCATCTATAAAATGGTAGATAATATACTTTCCCTAGATTGTTGGCCAGTTTGGGGGATTGCTGCATGAGTAGAAATCATTAAGAAAAACCTCTTTTTGACTTTAAAAAAGTATTTATTTATTTATTTATTGGTTCACAGTAAAAGCGAGAGGGAGATACAGAAACACCTCTATGGTAAGAATGAGGGTGGGGTGGGGAACTGGGCAGCTGTACCTCCCCCGTGCCTGGCAGATGGGTAGGGAGGTCACCAGGTGATGTTGACACTTGCTGTGTGTATTGGAATCCCAGCACAGCCCTCTCCAATCCTGCCCTTGTCAAAACTGCTGGAGGCCTTTGCTTTCCCCACCTATAAAGGATGCCAGGGCCCAGCTCCTACAGGCGAGTCACACAGCTAATGTGAGTGAATGCACCCTGGGCCTCGGAGCAACTGCCTGACACACCAAGTGCCACTGAGTGCCTGTGCTTATGAATATTGATGAAAGATTTGTGACTTTTATATCGTGGCTGGCTTCCCATTCTTGTGACAGGCCCGCCATGTTCCCGGCACTTACAAATAGTTCCCTCTGGCAAACTGGTTCCCCACCAGGAGGGGCTGCCTGCTACCTGCCTGCCCCACTCCCTCCTGCTCCCCTTTCCAGGACCCTCAGAATCTCCAGAAAGCACATCCTGATTGGGAGAGGGTGTGCTGACCCACACTAGCCCCCCACACCTGGGGGGCAGCAACTGGCCCCCACCCCACCCCAGTCTCCTCCGTGTGATGTGTCTGCTGCACAAACTACAACAAGCCAAAGGCCAGGCAGCTCCGATCCAGGCCATGGGGGAGGCATCACGAGATGCAGCTGGTGGAAGTGTGGGCTCTGGTGTCACAGTCTTGGGTCCAAGGCTGGCACTGCCACTTCCTTGCTGGGTGATGCTGGGCAAGCTGGAGTGCCACTGTGAACCTCAGTCGCCTCCCTTCCAAGTGTGAGCAGGATCAGGACACCAGCTGGCAGGGCATGTGGGGAAGATTTGGCAGGCCTCCTGTCCTTGCTGGGAAAGGGTAGTAACTGTCCTACCTCGGTCAGGGGACTGTGGTTCAGGAAGAGGGTTGGCCCTGCTGGGGAGGCTGCCCTGAGTATTACAGTGCTGGAGGCCCAGGAGGGGCCCCTGGGGTGGCCGAGGGCCAGGGTCAGGCTGGGGTCTGCCTGGGTCTCCGCCTTGTGCTGGGACTGCTAGGGATGACCTGGTGGCTTCTGTAGGGATGGGCCAGGGGCTGTGGTGTGTGCATCCAAGGAGCACTGTGCCGACCACAAGGGCCTTAGCGGGAACAGCTAGTCTTCATGTGTCTTCCCAGTCCACCTGCCCAGGCTCCCTCACCCCAGGAGGGCTGCACTCCAGCTCCAGCTGCTTCCAAGGCAGGTATCCCCAGCTACCGTCCAAACACCCACATCCTCTTCCTTGTCTGGAGCCCGGAGGAGCTAAAAATGCACCGGCCTGGCCCCAGGAAAACAAACAGAGCTTCCCTCCCCTTTGTACACAGCCCAGGCCGAGGATGCAGAGTGGGCTGGGGTCTGTCTGCCTGCCTTCCTGGGTCTCCCTGGAGCTCACTGAGTGGCAGCAGGAGCCTCACCGGGGTGGGGACTCTGTGAGGACAAGCGGCCAGGGTGAAGGTGGCCACCCTTCCAGCCTTGAGCCCCTTTCCTAGCCCTGGCTCTGGCGCTCAGAAACCAGGGAGTGTGTAAGGCTGCACATGTGTGTTCACGCACATGCAGCTCGGGGTGGTGAGAATGACCATCACGATGACTGACATTTGTGCAGGACCCACTGGGTGCTCTCAGCACTGAGAAGTTAACTCATCTAACCCAGTGAGGTGAGTGCTACTGTTCCCATGCTTTACAGAGGAGGAAAGCAAAGCTCCGAAAGGTTACAGGATTTGCCCAAGGTGGCACAGCTAGTGAACGGGTAGAGCAGGGCTTTCACCAAGGTCCTCTTTGACGGGAAGACTCTTTTGCTCTCTGGGCCTGACTTTGCCCATCTGTAAAATGGGCACACGTGATGGCAACACTTTCCTCCCCCGGTGAGTGTGAGGTGGCCCAGGGCACAAGGTCAGGAAGTGCTTTATCCACTGGCAAGGCCTTCTGGGCAGGGAGCTGTGGGAGGGGACAGCCAGGGGGGTAGAGGGCCCAGCGGCACCTATATGGTGTAGTGGTGGAGCATGGGCTCTGCCATCACACAGGCCATGGCTGGAGAGTGCCAGACCGCATGGCCTTGGCAGCTTTGCTCCCTCCTCTACCAGGCGGGAAAAGGAAACTTGCCTGGGACAGTCAGTGGCAGCACTTCGGTACAGAGCAGGGGACTGTACACAGCATTCTCGCCCCTCTGGACTTGCGCCCCTGGAACTGAACTCACCTCCTTCCGAAGCATTTCCTTGCCCACCCCCAGGGGGAGGCTGGCGCCCACTCCGGGGCTGAGATGATCTGATGATCTTCCTGGAGGGGCCCTTGGATGGAAATGAACCCAGTTTAAAAAGCCTGGTCCTGGCAGGCCCCACCCTGCACCTACCAGGGCCCACAGCCCCGCTGCTTCTCCTGCTAGGTTCAGAATTGTTAGGGGCCAGGAGGGGGTGTGGGTGGAAGGTTCCGGGGGCGTGGCCCTGCCCCAGGGCCTTGAGAACAGTTCCTTGGTGATAGGCCGGAGGGCCCCCTCAGCTCTGACACTCCAGGATCTCCTTTGGTTGCTGGGGGGAGTGATGCCCCCAAAGCCCTTGTGCACCCGGGTTTAAAGTCTCATGCTGTGAACCCCTCCCGACCTCCTACCACCTTTTAGGAAGGGCCTGGCATCTCTGTACCATCTGACTATGATTCAGAGGGAGACATAGGCAAGATGTTTATTCATTTATTCCTTTCTTCAGAGGACATTTATTGAGCAACTACTATACACAGGAGCTGCAGCCTTTGCTCACCATGAGCTCAGTGTAGGGCTTGACTGACAGACAAGCAACATGGAGATGAGACCACGGGGCACGTGCCATAGGGCCCAGAGTGAGTGCCAGGCCTGCAGGCTTCCTGGAGGAGGTTCTGGCTACCAGAGTACAGCAGAAGAAGAGGTGGAGGTATACGAGGAGAGCGCCTACCTGCAAGGAGAGGGTGCAGGGCACAGTTCCCCTCCGCATGGTGTTCAAGCCTACATGCCAGGCTGCCCCTGCTGCTTCTGCTGGTCTCTGTCAGGCCACCTCTATCTGCGCAGACATCTGCATTGCAATGATTTGTGTCCCTGAGCGCCGGGACTGGGTCATTCCATCCTGCAGTGCTTCTCACAGGGCTTCCACACAGTAGGTGCTCAAGGCTGCTGCTGGAATCGCCTCACCCCACCCTCACCCCATCCCCGAGCCATGCTGTGTGCCCCTGTAGTGCTCTGGACAGAAGGCAGAGTCCTGCTGAGCCACCCTGTTCCGGTGGCAGAGCTTGTTCATATGTATTAATGCATTAGCGCTCACCAAAGCCCGTGACTTGTGTCATTGTTGAGGCAGGCGTGGTGGCACACACCTGTAATCCCAGCTGCTCAGAGGCTGAGGCAGGAAAATTAGAAATTCCAAGCCAGGGCTGGGGATGTAGCTCAATGGTGCCTTGCCTGTGTGGCAAGCACAAGGTCCTGAGTTCGATCCCTGGTACTAAAAAATAAAGAACAAAAAGGTAAAAAATAACGGTGGCACACGCCTATAATCCCAGGAGGCTGAGGCAAGAGGGTTACAAGTTAAACAAAACAAAACAGAAGTTCCAAGCCAATCTGGGGAACTTAATGAGAACGTGTCTCAAAATGAAATAAAATATAAAAAAGAAAGGGGTTAGCTAGTGGTAGAATATGCTTGCCTATCATGTATGAGACCCTGAGTTTAACACCGGTACTAAAAAAAAAAAAAAAAAGTCTTATTGTCATGACCGTCATGTTGCCTGCCAGGGAACAGCACATCTCAGAAGTCTAAGCATGGGAGCTCTGTGGCTAGACTATCTGGGTTCAAGTCATGGCTCCAGCACCCTCTGGCTGTGTGACCTTGAACAAATTGCTTGGCCCCTCTGTGCCCATTTGCCCACCTGTAAGACAGGACTAACATATCACACAGAAGCACTGACTGGCTACTGAGAGAAAGAACACTCCCACCCCAGGTTCAGCTCAACAGTAATGGTAGCTATGATCATCCACTCGTAGGCAAGGATACAGGTCAAGGTCAAGATCACCTGGTTGTCTGGTGGGCAGGACTTTTTAGCCTGTAAGTATTTAGACATCAAATGCAGTATGTTGTGACCCCCTCCCCATCTTGTCACTTTGCCTCCTTGGTATATATCTGTTTACTCGTGTCTGTCCAGGGCAGGGCCTGAATTAGCATGGACTGTCTCACCCGAGCTCTGGATGTGGGCAGAAATTCTTTTACAACTCTACTGAGGTATAATAAATGGGATGTATCTGTTCTGCTCCGTGGGTATGCCTGGGAACCCATCACCACAAAGACAGCAAACATTTCCATCACCCTAAACATTTCCCATGCCGCTTCGAAATCCCTCCCTGCCTCCGACTACAGATACATCTCCAACTGACAGAGGAGAAAAGCAAGGTACTGAGAGGCTAAGCAGTCCTCCCAGAGACACTCCAGGGTTAGAACCAGGCCACCTATGCCCAGGGTGCCTCCCGGCCACAGAGGGTGGGTGTTTGCAGCTGCTGGTAAAGAGACCACCTGGGAAGTCCCCCCTGGTTGGCTCTGCCCCATCTAGGACCATGAAGAGGCTCCAGTGCACTCAGGGTGTGCCTGTGGGAGGAGGGGCTGGCATCCCAAAGGGATGCTTGTGGCTATGACAGGTAGATGACAGAGATAGTGTAAACGTGTGAGATCAAGGTGCCCTAAAGCCAGGCGGTTGGGCGATGCAGTGAGCCTGCGGTCCTGTGGTGGGTGCTGGGCTCAGCGTGCCTGCCTGTGACTGTGTCACTGTGACAGTGTGACTGCTGGAGGCCGGGACACAGCAGCTCTCTGAGCTGGGAGTGGAAGGCGTTAACTGTGTGAATGCTGGTGTGGGTGGGCAGGCCCCGAGTCTGTAGCTGGGGGCTGAGGGAGGTAGTAAACATCAGGGTGTCGGCAGGATCAGGGTGGCAGCCCTGCCAGGATGCTGCAGTGTTGTGGGGGTTTGTGTGACTTTGCAGTTCCACAAATTCAGATTCAGCCTATGCTGACAGTCTGTTGTGTGCCAGGCAACCAGCTAGGAGGAGGAGACTCTCGGACCGGCTTGCAGCTGAATGGTATCAGCTGTGGGGTTTGGAGCATTCACCTTGTGGTTGGCTCCTGCTGGATGCTTTTTGATCTTTCTGACATTTCATCCACACAGTAAGCAATGCTCCCACTTTGAGGCTGGATGGAGGAGCACAGAAGGAAAGTGACTTGTCCAAGGTGACTCAGCCAGACAGGATCCGAGTTCAAGGTGTCAGGCTGCAGAGCCTGAGTCCTTCGCGGTGGGGGGGGGGGGTTGGTCTTCTGGCTGGCCCTGAGACGCTCCCCTAACCACGTAGGCTCCTAACCAGTGGTGGTCACGGTGCTGAGGGGTGGGGCGGTGGGTCCTCTTAGTTTTTCTTTCCCAGGGGCCAGATTCGCTGACTGTGGGGCTACCCTCTTAGAGACCCTCTAAACGCCCCGCCCTCGCCCCAGGCCCTCCTCCAGCTCTGCCCCCCCTCCTGGCAGTGACTCCGGGCCAGAAGAGGAAAGGCTGTCTCCACCCACCTCTCACACGCTCCCTTCTCCTTTATAAAGGCCGGAACAGCTGAAAGGGTGGCAACTTCTCCTCCTGCAGTCGGGAGCGGCTCGCCTGCCTCTCTGCGCGCCCGAAGCCTCCCCCCGCTGCCTCCCTGAAGGTTCCCCGCCGGCCGCCAGCGCCCATCTTTCATTCCTGAGAGGGAGAGATATTTTGCGCACACACATATACAGACGCGCGCTAAAGAGGGGGAAAAAAAGCCCACCCTCCAGCCTCGTTGTAAAGAGAGAACCGGAGCAGCCGCAGCTCGCAGCCCGCAGAGGACGCCCAGAGCGGCGAGCCCGCGGGAAGACCGACCGACTCGCGCTGCGTCCACCTGTCGGCCGGGCCGAGCACGCAACGGGCACGCCGTGCGCGCAGAGCAGCCGTGCCCGCCGCCCGGGCCCCGCGCCAGGGCGCACACGCTCCTGCCCCCCCACCGGCCCGGGCTGGAGTTTGCACCTCTCCCTGCCCGGGTGCTCGGGCCGCCGCTGAAAAGACAACTTTGGAAAAAGTTTTTTGGGGGAGATTTGGGCTTTGAGGTGCCCAGCCCTGAGCTTTTTGGTTTGGGAGACCTCTCCAGAGAATGTTGCAAAAAAGCTAAGCCAGCGGGCAGAGGGAAACGCCTTCAGCCGGCGAGTGAAGACGAACCATCGCCCGCCTGCCTGCCGTGTTCCTTTTCCTCTCCGAGGTTGGAGTCCCCTGCGCGCCCCCACACGGCTACACGCCTCTGCTGGTTCGCGACGCAGCCCCCTGGCCGTGGATGCTCGAGCGGGCTCGGGATCCGCCCAGGTAGCGGTCTCGGACCCTGGTCCTCCCCAACCCCCCAGCGACGGAGCCGGGGCCGGGGGCGGCGGAGCCCAGGGGCCATGCGGGTGAGCCGCGGCGGCGGTTGCAGCGGCCTGAGCTCCTGATCCGCGGACCCGAGCGGAGCCCACCCTCCTCCCCAGCCCCCCACCCTGGCCGCGGGGGCGGCGCGTTCCGTCTACGCGTCCGGGGCCCCGCGGGGCCGGGCCCGGAGTCGGCATGAATCGCTGTTGGGCGCTCTTCCTGTCTCTCTGCTGTTACCTGCGCCTGGTCAGCGCCGAGGTGAGTTGCGACGGCGGCAGGGCTGGTTCTCTGCGTTCACCGCCCCCACCCCGACGCCCGGCCGCCCCCTCCTCTCCTGCGGTGAACTTTGGACTCCTGCAGCTCGTGAGCCGGGCGCTGGATGACCCCGAGGTCTGGGAGACGAGGTCCGTAGGTGCCAGACTCTAAGGGGAAGGGGCAGCGGCGGCTTTCTTCGCCAGGGGCGAACCCAGATCCCGGAGCTTCCTAGCATTTGGGGAGGGTGTGTGTGTGGCCCTGCCCCCTCCCAAAGGAACCCGAGAATCAGCTCCGCGGGTCGGGGAGAAGAGGTAGGGTGGTGCCCAGGACGCACAAGGCAGCGAGTCCTCCCAAGCCTACGTCGGCTCCAAGGTGGCCTTCGTGTCTGTCCAGGACCCAGACTGCCCAGAAGGTGTGAGCTCGCGCACCCGTGATACCCACGCCGACCTTTGGCTAGGGCTCGGGTCCGCCCTGGCTTCTGCTCTGGGTTGGTCGGGCTGCGCAGGGCATGACCGACACTCGAATACGCCTCAGTAGCAGCTTGCGGCCCGGGCGCGGGGGTGGGGGTCCCAGAGAGACAGGCAGGAGCGGGTGGGCTTCAGGCGCCTAGGGTGATAGGAGGACCCGGGGCTCTTCATAAATCCAGCCGTCAGGGCGGAGTGCGCCTGAGGCCCGCCATACCTGCGCCCGCGCCCCGCGAGAGGAAGCACCTCTCTCCCCCGCATGCAGGGTGCGGAGGGAGCGCGGCGCCGCCTGCCAAAACCTAGCTGACAGCGAGGTGGGGCGCGGGAACGTCTGCGGAGCGATCGGGTCGGATCGGTGCCGCCACCCCACCCGGCCTCAAAAGCAGTGAGTTGGCAAGTCTACCCGGAATCCAGGTGGGAAGGGGGCGGGGCCGGGCAGGCGTGAGGTGCGGGCGCGAGGGCGGCGAGGGCGGCGGGAGAGCAGCGCGCCCGGTCCCGTCCCGCCTCCGCCCGCAGCCCGCGCCCCGCCGATCCCGAGAGGCCGGCGCTTTCGGCCTCCCCCCAGGAGCAGGAAGCTGCAGGCGGTGGCGAAGGGGTTAAGGCGCCTGGCTTGGAGACCGCGGCCGGGCTTTGGGCTGCCGCCAGCGCAGGTTGTTTTGACCTCGGAGGAGCCGTCGCAGTCTCCTTTTGTTCTCCGGGCTCCTCGAGGGCCGTCGGCCGCCCGCCCTAGGGCCCCGCCCTTCCGCGGCCGCCCCCCGCGGCCCGCACCCGGGAGGGAGGACGCCGGGCTTGGCCGGGCCGTCTGCCGGCCCCTCGCGACGCCCCCTCCCCGCCTCTCCCGCAGCCACCCAGGCCGCTGCCAGCTGTTGGGGAGGGGGGCGCTGGCCAGCTCCAGCTCCAGCTGCCGCCTCGCCTAGCCTCGCCTCGCCGCGGGACCTGGGGGCTGGCCCGGTGCCAGGGCGTCCTGGGAACGGCGGCGCCCCGCGGCTGCTCTCCGCAGCCCACCCCGCCCGGCCCCCCGACTCGCTCACTCACCCCACGCATGCACACTCCTGGCCGGAGGCGATGCTGCGCTCCGGCGGGCGGGCGCGCAGAGCGACGGGCACGCACTACCGTGGCCAGGTCGCGCGCCCGCCGCCGCCACGCCCGTGCACACGCGGGCCACACGCGCGCGCACCGCACACGAACGCACGCACGGCCGCTGCACACACGGCCCAAGTACACGTGCGCGAGCACCTACGCACGCACACAGGCACGTACGGCCCCATACACGCAGAGCCAGGTGTGCGCCCCCGCGCAACAGGTGGGCCCTGGCACTTGGCCACCTCCGCCTCCGTAGAGACCCCATTTCCTTCCTGGGGTCCTAGAAGGAAGAGAGCTCTCCTATCAGGTCTTGGCACCACAGCAGTCTTTTTTTTCTCACCATTTTTCTTTTTGCCTGGTCAGAGCTGCTTCAGGCCCCTCAAACCTTACCCCTCTGTGATTGTTTTTTTCAAACACTCTCATGTGGCCAAAAATGGTGTGGAGTTGACTGAAGGGCACAGGGATGTCCGGTGTATTTCTCCTCTCAACAAGCTTTTATGTGAATCTCCGGGACACCAGGGATGCTGCCCGTAGTGTTGAGGTTGCTTCTACCCCTGGTTGTTTCCCTCTTTCCTGATGTCTGGTGCTTGGGACCGGCCGCCCCTTACCATTCCCCCAGCACCTCTCCTCTCCCACACCCCCTCATGTGTGCATTTGGGGTGGAGGACCGAGTGCAGAAACTCAGCTTTTCTTCGCACTCAGGTCCCAGCAGCCTTGACCACACCCCACACCCCTGTAGGGCCGGGCCATTGTACCTGCAGCTTTGCAGTTTGTGAAGTGCTATTTTAACCCTGCAAAAATTTCTGTGGCCCTGGGGGAAGGGGCCCACATGGCAATGGGAGGACCACCTACTAGGTGCCAGTGTAGGGAGACTCAGGGAGGGTTTGCTGCCGAGGGTGGCCGTGGAGCTGCCCATACTCTTGGTGGAGGCCTCAGCCACCTGGGAAGGGAGGTGGGAGCTGTGGGGCGGGGTCAGGCCAGGGTCTGCAGAGGCCTCTGAGGTCCTGTCCTCATCAGCTGAGCTGGCTTCCCGGAAGGTGACACCCACTGTCATGTGATGTTCTCTGCCTGAGCACCCTTCTTCCGGGAAGCAGAGTGCCCCCCCCCCCCAGCCTCTAACCACCCAGCTTCTTCCTGGTTTGCTGATGGCCTTAGGGGATGGGAGACCAACTTGCTGGAATCCCCCAGCCCTGGAGGTGTTTACGGTCAAGGTCAAACAATTTGGAAGCTCTGGTGCAAGAGCCAGGAAGTGTGTGCCAGAGACTAAGGCAAGGTGTTTACTGTAGGTGCCTCACAGTCTTCCCTTCCCCTCTTCCAGATGTTCCTTCTATGGCAACTCTTCATTTTCTGGTTTATTCTATTGTTTATTGTCTATCTTCCTCCATGGGGCTGCAGACTGCACTAGAGCGCTTTACTCTGGGTCCCCAGCACAGTACCTGGAGATTGGATAGTAAGTGTGGCCAGGACAGTGAATGCTGGGTGTGGGTGGGGCCCAGGCCAGCTAGGTGCTTCATCAGTGCAGCTTCACTGAATCCTCACCCTTGAGAGCAGCCCACGTGGCACACTGCCCTCCTGCTGGCATCAGTCTGCCAAAGTCCCCCCACCCCCACCCCCTTCATGAGACACCAGCATGTTTCTCCTCCCTGTCTTGGGACCTGGACTGTCAGGATTGGAAAGGACAGAGAGAAATACACAGAAGGAAGAATCAGGCTGTGTCTCTCTAGTAAGCCTCAGTTTCTGCCACCTACAACAAACCTGAGCAGGTTGGATCAGCCAACAGTTTCCTGCACAGCCGTTACCTGCTCTGGGGTTGGAGCAGGGGTAGTGATTGCAGTGAGCTGCCAGGATTGTGTGAAGCTCCTGCGCTCTTTCTGCTTTCATGTTTTTTCTTGCTCCAGCAAGAGGTAGGGTGGTTGGTGGGCTGGGCTGCTGGAGGAGGGGAGGCTTGAGCAGAAGGGAGAGTCCCAGGAGCCGAGAGGAAGGGAACTGCTGGTGGGAAAACCTGGTGCAAGCGAAATGGCTTCTGTGGTCTGCCTGGAGAGGGCTTCTTCAAGGGCTTGGCTTTGGCATCCGATCTAAATAAGGGCTGAGAGTCGCAGGCAGGCAGGCAGGCACTAGGAGGCCCTGTCAGCTTCTCTCTCTGCCAGCTGCAGACACCGCCCCTGGTTTTGGGGGGAGTGTGTGTTTGTGTGTGTGTGTGTTCTCCTGTGTGTGCTGGGGCCCAGGTGGAGGGTGGGGTTTGAGCCCCTTTGATCTGCCAGCCTGCTTGGGAGCAGGTAACTCACCTGGCCTCACGCTTGCTGGCTTGCTTGTGCCCTTCCTGCCTCCTGCAGCTGGTGTTGGGGGTGGGGTGGGGAGCAGGCTGTTTGCCTTGGCTCCCAGGGCTGGCTTTGCCCCAACTGCTTCCTTGCCACACCCTCACCCTGCCAGGAGCCCCAGACCTAAGATCTAGGGCAGCTTCTTTGGGGTTCCAGGCCTCTTTCCCTGCCTGTGGTGTCCACCTAGAGGGCTCCAGAACCCATGGCCAGGAAAACCAGGCTCAGAGCTGTCACCCTCCTACGCCCAACAGGGCTTCTGAGTAAACAGGTGTCCTACGAGGGTCCCCAGGACATCGCATCCTGGAGCTGACCACAGGCTGGCTGCCTCCACCCGTCACCACCCCCAGTCCTGCCCGGAAGGGCCCCTTCAACCCACACAGGACCAGGTGGTGTCAGTGGGACCAGGGTGCCATTTCCTGTGGCCCGGCACAGGGAGTAGTGCAGTCACGCACCCTACCATGATCATGTGGCTTTCCACCCACCCACTGTCATCCTGGAGAATGTCCCAGGGCACCTGTACCACTTGCTGCTGCTCTCAAAGGTGCCACGTTGAAAGAAGTAATAATGGTGACAGTGTCAACTCACGAAGTACCCGTTATTTGCTGGTTTCTCTGCTGGGTGCAGTTATGCCTCGAATAACTCTCAAGAGGTGTTAAGAAGCCGAGATTTTCGATGATTAAAAGATCTGCCCAAGGGCCAGGAATTTAGCTCAGTGGTTCCGCTGCCTGCCTTGCACAGGGTCTGGAGTTTGAATCCCAGTACAAAAAAAAAAAGATATGACCTGAGGATCCAGGTTGCCCTGGCATCTGAAGCCCTTGATCTCCTCTGCTGCAGGGTTTCCCAACCCCTGCACTACGGATATTTGGGGCCAGTGATGCTTTATTTTGCAGCACAGTCCTGTGCACTGGGGGGTGTTGAGCAGCCCATCTACTGCTAAGTGCCAGTAGCCCCCCATAGTTGTGGCCTCCAAAAATGTCTTCAGAGCCTGCCGGTGTCTTCTTACTGCTCTTTACTGTGGGAGCAAAGAGCTGACAGGAACCTCGAAAGGTGCCCAGGACCAGTGGCCCTGGAACGGAGGAGCAGCACTCCATGCAGGGCAGAAAAGGGGGTTCATTCTGGGGTCTGGGAAGTGCCCAGATGTGCCACTTACCGGTCATCTAGACCTGTGGTTGCTTATTTAATTTCTCAAAGCCTCAGTTTTTCTCATCTGGAAGATGGAGATAAAAATAGTGCCAGCCTCTTAGGAATGTACTGCATTTTGCTTGGCCGGTGACTGGCTGTGGTCAGTGGTTGGTGAGGGTGCGTGTGGCGTCGCTGTCCAATCCAGGGGGCTCAGTGAATGCTGGGCATCTAGTGGTCTGGTCACCAGCAGCAGGTGTAGGAGTGGCCTCTCTGCTTAGAGCACCATGGGCCCGAGGAGAGGATTTGCCTGGATGTGGGGGGAAGAACGTCCCAGGTGGCCATCCTGGTGGAGGGGATGGGAGAATCATACTGGAGAGGACCTCAGGGTGATGGTATAGGGTCCTGCACTAATTTTACCAACATTTATTGAGCACCTACTGTATGCATTCCACACCTCCAAAGACCCAAGTGTGTTCCCACAGGTCAGCTCCTCTGCATCGTGGGCCTGGGTCTGGGGCATCCACTGGGTTTGTTTAGGGTCTGTCTGCTTGTTTTTCCCCAGCTGGCAGCCAAAGCCAGCTCTCCAGTGGCCAAGCAGATCTTGGCACAAGCAGCAAGTGCCATTTGGCCTTTGGGCCCCATCCCTGGAGGTCAGTTGAATCATTACTCCACAACACCCCTTGTTCCCCTTCTGGGAGTGATCCAGGGTGCCTGGGCTGGGTACCCCCACTTTGTCTTTCTTCTGCTGCTACTGTTACCCCCAGGTGGCATTAGAATCAAATTGAATATTTTCAACCCCCTTGATTGACAGATGAGAGTGAGGATCAGAGAGGGGTAGTGACCAACCTGAGGTCACACGGCAGTTGGTAATAGTGCCCTGTGGACCACCAGTTCTGTGTCGGACAAGACTCAGGCCAGTGGCCTTCCCTGGTCTTCACTGGACACCAGCTGCCAGCCTTCTGTCCCATAGGTTGGTGCCTGGTCAGCACTCGGAGATCATCAAAGGAGTGGTCTGTCTTCTGGGGGTGGGGTGGGGAGAAAATGAGGGCTTGGGCTGGCACCCCTCCTCTGTCCTGCGCATCCCGGCCAGCCAGCCATACAGCCTGGAATGGTGAGGGAAGTGCCCAATCCTCAGGCCGGCCCCCACCTCTCTTCCCGCAACCTTGCAGCAGCCCTGAGGCACCAGAGGGGCTCCCAGCTCCACGGAGAGGGGTTTCAAGAAAGGAGCATTCAAAGGGGTCTCGTCCACTCTGCTCCTGGCTCCTACAGCTCCAGCCCACGGTGGGCATACCCCACAGAACTTTGGGGGACTGAGATGCGGCCCTCCGCCACTGCAGTCTGAGTTTAGCTTCCCGAACTGCAGTCCCAGGGTGCTCAGTGAGCAGAGGACAGGGCTTTCTCCTTCTCAGTGCAGGGAAACTGAGGCACAGTGTGGTTTTCCCCAGTGTTCGTGCCCTCCGGCCTCCCCCAGGCCACATGGCCCTGCGCGCTTTGCCTGTATGTGTGCAGCTGTGTCAGGCCAAGCCTTCAGACATGTGGCAGTGGTGGCTGGTGCATGGGACTGTGCTGCTCAGTCTCCTGTGCCCTCTTCCTCTTGGGACTGTTGGCCCCAGGCCTTTGGGTCTCCCAGGATCATGGGGATGCAGGGGGGACCTTCCTATCAGGACCTGTATTGTAGGACCTGAGGTTTCCCTGGAGAAAGCCCGGCTCTGAGCGAGGCCTATTAAGGTGCTTATTAAATTTCAAGTGTGTTTGGTGACAGGCCAGAGGAGCTCTAAAAATAGGGTTTGCCCGGGCACAGGCATGGGTTAGCTTTCAGGTTTCCCGGCTGGGTCTGAGGATTCCCTCCTCTCTTTCTGGCAAGAGTCAAAATAGGCATGGCTGGAACATGTGGCCTTCTGAGACCGTAAGACTTTGCAAGAATTGTTAAGCACGCCTTGTTTCCAGGAGGTTGGGGTGCAGGCTCTGTTGTCACAAAGGCTTGGGCTCCAGTGAGCTTCTGTAATAATAGGCCGTGGGATTCTGGGCAGAAGTTGTTCACTAATTGAACCTCTGTTTTCTCATCTGTAGAATGGGGATAATTAGATCACCTGTGATGTATAGTAGCTGGCCTTAGCTATCAGACGTGGCAGGAGAAGCAGAGAGAAATTGGGTTATTGGAGCCTCCCCGAGACTGGTAGTCTGATGGGGGAGACAATGTAGACAGGCAGGTCTAGCTGGCGGCAGGCTGGGGTTCCTGGCTGGAGGGTGAAGCCAGGGTAGTTTCAGAGCCGCGTCTCAGGGATTCAAGTCCCCAGGGTCCTGGTGCTTGTCAGCCCAGATCCTGCCTGCCCCAGTCTGAAGGGGCCCCATAGGAAGTTCCCATGGAGAAAGTCAGTGGCTGGGGAGAGAGGCCCCCGCTTGCCAGTTCACTCAGCCCTCTGCTGTCTGCCTGGCAGGGGGACCCCATTCCCGAGGAACTCTATGAGATGCTGAGTGACCAGTCCATCCGCTCCTTCGATGACCTCCAGCGCCTGCTGCATGGAGACTCCGTAGGTAAATCGAATCTTCCAGCACTCTGGCCTCTGGTGGCCCTTAGGGGACCTGGGAGTGGGTAGGGCAAGGCCACCCCTCCATGGACATCCGGAGAACTAGGGGCCCATGGTTGACCACCTGCACCCCAGAGAGGGCTGACTACACCCTCCCAGGGCGGACCCAGGAGGCAGATGGGCCGGTACCTGGGACGTGGGGTGTGGTAGGAGAAGCACCCTTGTGGGGCTCCCGCGTGGTGCAGAGGGTGGGGTGCTGCAGTAGGGCGGGCAGGGAGAAGGTGCCCAGGGCATGTGCTGAGTACCTATCCAGGTGTGGGCACAGCCAGGCAGGGTGGTGCCTGAGGAGCCATCTCCCTGCCCCCCTGGCCCAGGGCCCAGTCTGTGAGGTCTCTTGGGGACACCTGGGCTGGACCAGCCTGCAGCCCTGCCTGTGCCCAAGAGCAAGCTCAGTGAGTGGGCACGTGCTCGGTGGCACACACGTGGCGGGGCTGGCGGGCTGGGCCGGGAATGTATTTATAAACGCTGTCTTCAGAGCAAATTCCATTCTATTCTAACCTCTGGCCTGGTCCCTGGAGCCCTGGTCAGCACCTCCCTGCACCCCCGGGTCCCCTTCCCTCTGGGGTTCTGTCTCTTTGTCACTTTGTAATCCTTGCCCAGACGCTATCTACGGGGGAACAGCATTTCCTGCTTTTGTCTCCTCTCCCCTTGGGCCCCTGGCTCCCTCTCAAAAGCATTCCCGGGCCCTTTCAGTCCTGCCTGTGCTGGGGGGCGGTGAGGCAGGCAGGAGGGGCCCCAGCTGGGCCCACTTATTGTTTACCAGGGCCCCCACCCGACATCTCCCAGCACCCCCACCCGGTGCCCAAGTGGCCAACCCTGGCCACACAATGGGGCAACTTCCAAATTTAGCCTTTCTGCCATTTCTTTCCAAGGCCCCGCCCCCTTCAGCCGGCCCTCCACACCCTTGGTGGGGGTCGGGATCTTGGACATGAGGTTTTCAATAGCGGGCCTGTTTTGAGGCAGCCATGGAGCTGTTTTTTCCTAATCAATTTAACCTTTCCAGAAAGCCCATCTTTTCCCCATCTCCTCCCCACCAGGGACATTCCAGAGATAGCAGGGAGAAAGGAAGGGAATGAGAGGGACAGACAGACGCTCTGACATGGGAGCCTTTCCAGCAGAGGTGGACCAGTCACAGGCTGTACTGCAGGTCTCCTCCAAACAGGATCCCCTGGGATCCCGGACAATGAACAGTAGCCTGCAGGGCCCTTTGTCTTTGACAAGGACTAGGGCTGACGGGAGGGTGTGAGCTGTTGGTGCCAGGGGAGGGGGGCTTGTCGCCAGGACCCCTTAGTTGGCTTGCAGGTATGAGAGAGACAGAAGGGGCTGTCCGCCTTCAAGCTTCAGCTCAAAGCCTCCTCCCCAGCCTTGCTTTCCGGTAGGTAACTCTGGCCACCATCTCTAGAAGGGGACAATGTCCCCAAGAAGTGCTGGTGGCAGTGAGGTGAGAGCTGTCCAGCCTGGAGAGCTTGGAGAAGAGGGAGAGAAGGGAGATGGAGGCTGAGAACAAGGATACAACCCAGGCCTAGCAGGGCATGTGGTGCGGCTCACCAGCCTCCTCTGCCTTCAGTTTCCACCCCCATCCCTCCACCCTCTCTCTCCCCAGCCCTGCAAGGCCATTGTCCGGCTCCGGAGGGGCTGCGATCAGGGCCTGCTGGCCCCCCGGGGATTCTGGGAATTTCTCCATTCAGCACTTCCTATGGGAACGCTGGGCGGAGGGGCACTGGGAACTGGCCTGCTGCAGTGCTGGGGCCTTGCCCCACCCTGGAGGCCGAGAAGGGTTCACTTACAGTAGCAAAGGGGAAGGGTTATTTTTAACTCCATGCATATGGGTTCTGGCCAAAAATGTGGCTGAAGAACCCAGAATGGGGCTAGGGGTGCCCCAAAGATGCAGCCAGGCCCCCACCACTCGCAAGCATGGCCGCCCAGAGTTTCCTAGTTGGAGGTCCAGGAGCCTGAGTATGGAGGGGCTGTTCCCTGGGGTTCGATGAATGGTCCTCATGCTGCCCAGAGCTCCGTGGGAGCCCCATACATGGTCACTAACCAGCCATGCAGTGTAGCATCCGGTACTTTCTCTTGCAGATGAGGATGGGGCCGAGGTGGACCTGAATGTGACCCGGGCCCACTCAGGACGTGAGGCTGAAGGCTCATCTCGCGGGAGGAGGAGCCTGGGTAAGACCCAGGGCCCTAGTAGTGGCCCTTCAAAGTCTGGGAGCCAAGGGGGGCAGGGGAGGGTGACTCCAGGACATCCCCAGACTCTCTTTACTACCGGGCTGGAGCCAGCAGGCCCCTGTGACCAGCCTTGGCTTTAGTCATTACACATTACCCCGTGCCTGTATCACATTCCCTGCATAGAGAGCTTTTCCTCTCATCTCTTCCTCACTGTGCCCCTGAAGATGAATATCATCAGTCGGCTTCACAGAATTGCAAAACGAGCCCAGAGAGGGTAAAGAAGTAGATGAGATCACACAGTTTAAAATTGGTAGAGCCAGGGAGCCCCTAGATCATTAGGCCCCAGAGAAGCTCTTCCCGGGCAGGCAAGTGCGCATGCTGGGGCCTCCTCCGGGTTGTCCCGCGGAAGTCTCCAGAGCCCTGTGGATGCAGCTGGGAAGCCTACAGGGGGCAGTGGGTCCCTTAGCTCTTTGGCTCCATCCGTGATGTGGGTGGGTTAGCGGAGCTCTCCCAGCCTCAGTTTCTCTGTACGTGAGTGACAGGAGCCCCAGCAGATGAAGAGGGTGCTTGCTGTGTGAGGGTGGGAGGGACTCTCAGAGCTCTGCAGCCTTGCCCCCCTGACCAGGTTCCCGTCCCCCAGGTTCCCCGACAGTGGCCGAGCCAGCTGTGATTGCCGAGTGCAAGACGCGCACTGAGGTGTTCCAGATCTCCCGGAACCTCATCGACCGCTCCAACGCCAACTTCCTGGTGTGGCCGCCCTGCGTGGAGGTGCAGCGATGCTCCGGCTGCTGCAACAACCGCAACGTGCAATGCCGGCCCACGCAGGTGCAGCTGCGGCCGGTGCAGGTGTGTGGCCCCCACCCCTCGGCTTCAGTGTTGGTGCGGGGTGTCTCGGGATATCCTGGGATGTCCCTGGGCTTGCACCATTCGTCCACCAAGGTGACCCAGGTTATGGTCACCGAAAGATGGGTGTGGGAACTGCCATGCTATTCCAGGGGTGAAACCCCATGACCCGCCTTGAAGAGTCGGCCAGTATCTGAAACCTCAGATGCCTTGGGCAGCTCCCTCGCAACTGCCCCATATTTGGGGCTCTCAGAGAAAGACTCAGGCAGGGCCTTGCACACTGCCACCTTCCTGTGTCACCTTGGCAAGCTGTGCCTTCATCAAGGACTCCTCAGGTGATTGACACTGTGGAAGCCAAGACTGCCCCACCCCTACCCCAGCAAATGGTTAGCGCTGTGTTGCCTCTTTTTGGGAGGAAGTGGGCACATGGACATGGGTCCCAAGGCTGTCTGTGGCAGGGAGCACCAAGCACACACTGCACTGGGCGTGTCTTCTGATCACCTGGACAGGTTTCTGCACCCTGGGGCCGCTGTGCCCATGTGGGTGGCCCACACTGCTGGGTCTACACCGGGGGCTCTGAACTAGCCCTAGCCAAGTATGTCGCCTGCTTGGCCACACATGACTGGTGGCCTATGCCCTGCACCCTGCCCACCTTCCAACCCTGGCCTAGGGCCACAGCCTGAAATTACAAATGCCACTGTCTAGCCGGCCAGCCCCTGTCACGGTATCTCCTGTCCCCAAGGCTTCCAGCCCCATGGATGGACACCTGACCTCCCTTTCCTGTCGCCCTCCTGGATAAACCTTCCCCCACTTCCTTCCAGACAGCCATTGGCTTCTGGTGCAGCCCCTGGCCTTGGCCACGGCAGGCATTCCAGGAACGAGGACACCGTGGGCCCCATGCACAACCCGGAAATGCCTTTCTCACTCTCTGGGGGCCTGGGGCTGCGGCCAAGCCAGAGGCCAGGTTGGAGGGGTTGTTTTGATGGAAAAGCTCCGACAGGGCAGAGGGCAAGGCCCTGCTATTGTTTGGCCCGAAGCAGGGCCGAGCAGGCCCGCTCTGGGCTTTCGAGGAAAGCTCTGCCTCTGGTGCAGGCCTGGGTGGGAGAGCAGGTGGTGGGCTGTGTGCGGCTCCACAGCAAGGTTTGGTATCCTGTCCTCTAGGTGAGGAAGATCGAGATTGTGCGGGGGAAGCCGACCTTTAAGAAGGCCACGGTGACACTGGAAGACCACCTGGCCTGCAAGTGTGAGACAGTGGTGTCTGCCCGGCCTGTGACCCGAAGCCAGGGGAGCTCCCAGGAGCAGCGAGGTAACCTCCTTCCCGGGGGCTACTATGAATCGCTCCACAAAAAGCCTCATCTTCCTGCAGAGCTGGGAGCCCCATGGGTCAGTCTAGAACCCCCTGGCCTAAAGACCTTACACTGAGAATGTAGCCTGGCCTGGCCTGGATAGCAACCAATCCCCTTCACTATGCCACCCTCGCTGGTTGGGCTTTGTCCTTGAGTGGCGGAGTGAGTTTCTGCCCCAGGGCCTTTGCACATACTGGTCTCTGGACCAAGTTTCTCCTAGCTTTTCAGATCCTGGCTCTTTCTCTTCCTCTGGGCTTCAGCTCTGAAGCTGCCTTCAGAGGTTTGCCTCAGCTACCCTGCCATGAACAGCCCCATTTCCAGTGTCACAACCGCAGTCCCCTGCTTGGGGGAGTGAATGCGTGGAATGGTGGGAAGACCATTCCAAGATCTAGATACAAGAGGGCTCCATGCACATCATCTTCAGATATTTGACAACTTGCTCTGGATGAGGACTCTAATTTCTTGTGGCCCTAGATGGAAGGAAGAACTAGGACCAGTGGGAAAAGCCACTGAAGAATCTTAGCTCCAGATATGGAAAAGCTGGTGACCAGTCAAGGCTCCAGAATGGACTTGGCTGCCGTGTGGGGTAGTGAACTCCCTGTCGCTGGAGGTGGGCAAGAAAAGGCTGGGCGGCTGCAGAGCTAGGATAGGCCTGAGGGGCTCAAACACTCATCAGATGGATGAGTGGAGTTGGAATTCTTTCTGTGCCCGTAGATTTCAGGAGTTCACAGTCGAAAAAGCCCCAGAGTATGACCCGGCCCACTTCATTTTACAGAGGAGATGCCTAGGGCCCAGATGCGATGATGTCTTCCTTGAGGCCACAAAGCCTGTCCAGGGTGTCCCAAAGTTCTGTTCTTGGCTCTTTCTGTCTCTCACCTGTCTTAAACGTTTCCCATAAGAATCGAATTATTCAGTGAATACAATGAGGTGAACATTTAAAAAATCAGGTAAGTGACGATTTTGATTGTCGGTGCCTTTCTGTTAGGGACTGTTGTCCTCATGTTTTATTAATAAGCCTAGAGGCAGCACTGCTTCTCGGCCTCTGTCCTGTGCTTAGAGCTGGGCTGTCACCCAGGGGCTGGTCACCGACAGCTCCAGATGGACACGTTGTAATTAATGACTGAGTCCACACTGTAACTTGGGAGTCGCATTAAAGCAGTGAGTCTAGGTAACCTAAAGTCTCCTGGCTTAGGTGTGGCATTTCTTTTTTTTTTGGTACCAGGGATCGAACTTGGGTCCTTCCGTTTGTGAGGCAGATGCTGGAACCACTGAGCTAAATCCCCCGCGCAGCTGTGGCATTTCTGTGGAGGTGTTGGCCACCAGGGGCAGCTGTCCCTGGCCAGGCTGAGGCTCGGCGGTGTGGCCCGTGCACTGTGTGGTTAGTCAGACCTCCTGGGCTCCAGTCCCAGCATGGCATCCCATGGCCTCTCCACCAGCTTGGACAGATTTCTTTCATGGAAGGACAGGGCGCCAAAAAGTGCAAAAGTGGGAGCCTCTGGGTCCTCCGAAGGCTCCTGCCTGGAGCAGAGGGCATCGCTTCTGGCTCCTTCTGTTGGTCATACAGCTCAAGTGCAGTCTCGGTTCCAGGGGAAGGAAGTAAACCCCATCTGTCCGTGGGTAACAACAAACTGGAAGTCACATTTGACCCACCCTGTCTATCAGGCACTGCACAAAGAACTTTGCCAGCTCCCTCGTTCCTCTCACCACTCCTGTGATGTGGGCAGTCTTGTTACCCATCTCACAGATGGAGAGACTGAGTCATGAGGAGGTTCAGTAATTCTTCTTAGGCACTCACAGCTGATGAACAGTGAAGCTGATTGGAGCCTGGGTAATAGGGTCTCTGACTCCTCTGTCATCCCTTTCCTTAGCCCAGGTCACAGTGGGCCTTGGCGGAGAGATGAACCCCATGCTTGTCCACATGCTCACAAACTCTCTCTCTTTCTTGAGCAGCCAGGACTCCCCAGACTCGGACGGCCGTCCGGACAGTGCGAGTCCGCAGGCCCCCCAAGGGGAAGCACCGCAAGTTCAAGCACACGCATGACAAGGAGACGCTGAAAGAGACCCTCGGAGCATAGGGGTGGCGGCAGGAGAATGTGGGCAGGTGAGGCCCAGAAGGGAAACTGAGGCCTGGAGCCCCGTGTTTCCTTCCCCTTGACCTGCAGCCGGGCTCTGGGGACCAGGCCAGCTATACCCCGGTTGGCCCCGGGGGAGGGAGGTCTGGGTGCCACACTGTTGTCCCTAAGCCTGTGGGAATCCTGGGGGCTCCCTGGCCTGGCCTGTGAGGACAGTGGGCCCAGAGGCCTGGGCTATCTCTGACCCCAAGTCCCTCTGCTCGGCCCACAGGGTATTTAATATGGTATTTGCTGTATTGCCCCCATGGGGTCCTTGGAGTGATAATGTTGTCCCCCTCGTCCGTCTGTCTCGATGCCTGATTCGGACGGCCAATGGTGCTCCCCCGCCCTCCACGCGACCATCCCCTCCATGCGTCCATCCATCCATCTGTCCCTGCCAGCGACCTCTGGCATCCTGCTCTGCGGCTGGAGGAGGAAACAGGACTTGGCTCCATTGCTGCTTCCTCCCTTGACATGGAGAACATGGGACAGGAGCAGAGAGACTGCTGGGGACAGGGCCTCCCTCCCCCACGCCTGGCCCCAGGAGCGCTGCACTGAGGACCCGGCCAGCTCTGAGGGGACCCCTCCAGGCAGACTGGGGCCTCGGACAGTGGCCAAGACCACACAGGGAGCACAGACTGGGGGAGCCCCTCCCACAACACCCAGATGGCCATCACCCTCCCAGTCAGCTCTGCTCACTGCGGGCGGCGTCATTCATGTCCTCCATGTGAGATCTTCGGAGACAGACTCCCGGGGGCAGGGGCTGTGTGCCCCCTCCAGCAGGTTACAGATGAAATTTGCTCTTTGGGTGAATGTAGATGGCAACTTGGGCACCCCCTGCCTCCCCTGTCCACCCCAATTCATTCCTCCTCTGTTTCCTTTCATCTCTCTACCTCTACCCTGCATCTTCCACTCTTCCTGGCCCTTTGGTCTGCTCTACCAATGGGTTCTTAGGCCCCTGATTGAGACCCCAGTCATTCTTCCCTAGGACAGAAGACCACAGGCCAGGGCAATAGACCTGCCCATCATACTTCAACCCAGCCAAGACTGCCATGTAAGGTTGTGCAGAGTGTGGACTCCACAAGGGCACTGCATGCAGGGAGCACTCTTCACACCCTACATACGACCCATTTGTCTATTTATTATGACAGTTTCTGGCAGATGTAGGTCAAGTGTCTGAGGAAAGGAATCCTTTTCCTAATTCACACCAAGGGTCCCTGGGGATGGGCTGTGCCCCTGACCCAGCCTTCAGCCTGGAGTAGTCAGATGGGAGGGAGCCAGTGGTGTGTGGGCCCTTGCCTCCATTCCCCAGGCCTCAGCTCCACCTGTTCCAGGCAGATGTGGGGAGCCCCTCTTGCCCTGCCCCGTACTCACCCATCTTGGGTTCTTGGAGTCCCACCTGGTGGCTCCTCCCAGGACCCCAGCAGGTGGACGGGGTGGGGAGAAAAGGGAAAAGAGCCCCAGGAACCCTGGGGTGGGGGTCTGAGCTCCCTCTCCCACTGGACCTCCCCTCCCCCCCTCCAAGATCTGCTTCCTTCGGTTTGTAAAGTTGGTGATTATATTTTTGGGGGCTTTCCTTTTATTTTTTAAATGTAAAATTTATTTATATTCCGTATTTAAAGTTGTAAAAAAAATAACCACAAAACAAAACCAAATGAATCCGCCGGAGGTCTGTCTGTTGGCATCGTGCGTGACAATTAACCTTTCTGCCTTGGCAGGATGTGGTGACAGCTTGCTGCGTGTTCCTCTCGCTCCGGAGGCTCGGGTGTGCACGCAGACACACACGCATGCGCACACAGGGCCTCAGCTCTGGAGGAGCCCTCTGTGTAGCAGAGGATGGCCCATCCCCACCCTACAGCTGCTCTGGATGCTTGGGCCCCAGGGCCCGGACTGTACCTGTCCCAGGCGAGCTAGGCTTCAGTGTGGCGGGTGGAGTATAGGAGGAGGCTGAGGGGCTGCGGGTTCCTAAGCAAACAGCTGATCAGTGGGCCTGGGGTCTGGGTTTAGCCTTCGATCACCCAGTCAGAGCCCAAGCTTGCCGGATCCTGGCCTCAGGAAGAGACTTGGGGTCTGTGGGTCCAGCCCTGGGGTTCTGTGCATTCTCTTTTATTTTTTATTTTTGCAGCACTGGGAATTAAACCCAGGGCACCCGTGTGCTAAGCGTGCTCTATCAGTGAGCTAAATCTCAGCCCCACTGGGCTTTCTCTTGCTCACAAAGACTTGGGTAGCAACCCATAACAAAGGTGCTAAATGTGTTCTGGGTCACACCTGTAGTGTCTACTGGGGCTGTTGGGAAGGCCAGGAAGTGGGGAATCTGGCTTTGAAAAGCTAATGCCATTTTGCCTCTGGAGCCAGCGAGCTCCCTGTCACTGGAAGTGTGTGACACTTCCAGGGGAGAGCTGGGTTGCAACGCGGCTGAGCTTAGACCGAGTAACATTTGGACTCCCCGTGACTGACAGATCCACTGATTCATTAATTCATTCACTCACCATCATGTGGCCCTGCCAGTGTGCCCATCACTGCCAGGGACTTTCATAGCAACTCCCTCCCTGCACTGGAGGAAGTGGCTTCCGCCCTGGTGGTGGGCGGTGCAGATCCAAGGGATTACCTGCAAATGCTTATCTGCCTGCCTGTTGGATGGATCTTGTCTGCAGGATCCTTCCCTCTCCCTGGGCCCCAGTGCTCTGAGTTCCCAGGGTCCAGAGAAGCCTCTGGTGGGAGATGGGGCATGGGGACAGCGCATATGGCATTTGGCAGCTGCCAACAGCTGGGCTGTTCCACTGACAGCTGCAGGAACCTCCCGGTGCAGCCAGCTGTCTCTCCCCTTGCCCCTGTGGAGTCTGGGTGGGAACTCCTCTCAGGCAGACAGCGTGACTGTGACCTCTGGAGGCTCAGCATGGGCTGCCTCCCTAAAGCGACAGCTTAATGAACACGTCCTGCTTATAAAGTAAAACATCCAGTCGCGGCACTCGCGAGCTTGTTTTAAGGAATGAGTGGAGAAGGTAACGGTGGAGGGACAGAGGGCAGGCTGAGAGAACACGGGTGCTGAATGAATCCCTCCCCTACTGACTCTGTCTCTGGTGTTTCCGCTATTTCATGCCTGGGGCCCAACACCTGTCCACAGACCCAGGTTAGTCTTCATCCAGCCCATGGTTGCTGTGTGACCCTGGGGAAGTCACTGCTCTTCTGTGATGTGGTCCAGCTCAGCCTGCTGAGGCAGATGAGAAGCACTGGACTCAAACACCTTTCCTGTGATGGATGGAGGGGGGCATGTTGTCAACAGCTGTCAATATCTTTCCCCCTTGTTCTCTTCACCCCCCTCATCCCCCCCCCCGCAAGGATGGACTGGAACAACCTGCCTTGGTGTCCTCCTGTGTATTGGCTGTCAGCCATGTTGCCTGCCCCACTTTAGATGCTGCCACCTCCGAAGAACTGCCCCTAACACGAGAGCTCGGGGAGGGATCTGGGCTATTAACACCCCCAGCCACCTCAAACCCCAAATAAGCGGTGTACACAACTAGTGCTCCTGAAGATTACCTGGTACTTTTTTTTTGGTACCGGGGATTGAACTCGAGACCTTGTGCTTGTGAGGCAGGCGCCAGAACCACTGAGCTAAATCCCCAGCCCTACCTGGTATTTTTTGACCTGTACGTTTTGAAGAGATGCAACAGCTGTCAAGCAGTTTGCGGATGTTGGGTACAACTGCCTGGATGACAGCTGTAACTATCCGGGAGGCCCCACACCAGTTCCAGCAGATGTCTGTCCTCACCTCAGAGAGCTTGAATTTTAACCAAGCAGAATTGAATTTGGACCAATCAATAGGCTTGAATCAGAACCCTTGAATTTAGACGAATTTGGACCAATCAGCAGGCTCAAATTTGGACCAATTGGCAGGCTTGAATTCAAACCAATTCGAGGCTTGGATTTGGACCAATCACAGGCCTACTGTTGCTATATAAGCAGCACTGTTCCCATAGTTCTTGGACTTGGATGGCTCCTTTTGGTCTGTTGGAGTTCTTGTGTTGCAGCGTAGATCTTGTCAAAAAAAAGCTTCACTCTGGTAAATCTCATGGATTTCTTGCATAGTATGGGCTTGGAAGGTTCTGTAAATCTATAGTACTTAGGATTCTTATCCTGAGTGGTGTGGACAGAGTGGTTGCTTTCAAAAGAGCCACAAACTCTACAGGCTATTACTCCTGAAGAGCTCCAGGGATCAGTGTCTAATGAAGATCCTTGACAGACACCAGTAACAGGTGGGGCCGGTGTACTGCCCGCAGCATCAGAGACCAGCAATTGGAGTCAGGTGACTGACGGCCAGCAGTGGCCAGCAGTAGCAGTGACCAGTGACATCCGGTGTTGACTGGTGTTGACTTATGGTACGAGGGACCAGAGATGTAATGTTGAGGGCCAAGGGCTATTGGCGCTCCAAGCCCAGAGCTGCTAGCAGAGCTGCACTTTGCTGACTCATGATTTCTGTCTGAATGGAGCAAAAGAAACCTCAGCAGACCATGGCACTGCCCTTACTGTAGGCTCTGTGCAACTGTTAAGCTGCCCATGTGTAGCCCTGCACCTTCCCCAGAGTGCAGCCCCTGCCCAGATCCCTGCTCTTCCATCTCCATAGCTCATATTCTCACTTGGCCTGGTCTGCAAGCACTGTGTGCCTTGTCTATCCCAGCTCCCCATAAGGACACTCCCTGCGGACTTACTTTGTTTCCTACTGTGTTCATGAGCCCAGAAAGCACTTGGTACATAGTAGATGCTCAAAAAACTCATTGGATGAGTGAACAAAAAGGTCTGTAGTATGTCACCATAAGCTTCTGCTTGCCTGGCTAATTGTCACGCACTGTATGTGGCTAAGAAATTGTAGACTCTGAGGTCACCACAAACTATAGATATTTCAACTTCTCAGTTAATTCCATGCATCTTTTTTGACTCAGCATCTTCCTAATTCAGCGTCTTCCTTGATTAGAAGAATCTCACGGGTTGGAATCTTGTTGAATCTGCCTTCAACGTATCTAGCTATCATCTCTCTGTCCATTGACCCATCCATGCATCCATCTATCCATCCAACCACCCGTGCATCCATTCATCCATCCATCCATTCATCTGTCCATTTATCTGGTCATATATCCATCTGACCTTATGTCCATCCATCCCACCATCCATCTACGCCTTCATTCATTTATCCATGCACCATCCATACTATCCATCCAACACCTGTGCACCCATCTCCCTACCACACTGCTGTACTTCCATCCTCCCCATAGTTAGTGTGGGCACTGCTTTGGCTCAGCTTCCCACCAGATCTGGTGAGGGAACAGTCAGAATCACCCCAGCTGATGAAGCCAGAACCTCAAATCCAGAGCTACTGATTAGCAAGTTTCATTAATAAATTCAGCCCAATGAAAGAGTGTGTCCCCTCTTTCTGGTATGAATCCTCCCAGCCCACTAACAGTCGTCCCTGGATTTTCAAGGACATGAATAGGAAAGCTCTGCACAGACTTTGGTTGGGTGGATAGGCAGTCCTGCAGCCCCCTTGGGGTGTATGGGAGCTGACTGTAGTCTGAGGATGTGAGGATGTCCATGCAGGGTGCTGGTTATGGCAGCCCAGCCTCGCACAGTGGGAGGGGGACTCAGTGTAGCGTGACCAGAATCATCCAGAATCTCCCGAAGAGCTGAGGAGGCCACAGCATCTGCTCATGATGTCGTTTGCTGATACGCACACCGGCAAGTGCTCCAAAACTGAGTCACCCCCAGCCAGGCTCTCTTGGGTCTTGAGCCAGAATTTAAGGTCTTAGGATATTGCCTTCTGATCCTCACACTACCCTGCCTGCCAGGGCCACACTGTAGTGACACCAGTCATTCCATCCTCCTCACTAAGCCCTGAGCCTCTGCCACCAAGCTCTGTCTTCAGTGATTCCTCGTTTCACTGATTCCAGGCAACAAAGCTGACATCCTGTGTCCACCACACACTACAGGTTTCTGGATCTGTCCTTACTCTGTTGGTTTTTATTGATTCAGCCCCAAGCAGCCCTGATGTCCAATTCTGGCTTCTCCCAGTTTCCTGACAGCCTTTGCCTAGAGCCACTTTTGCCACCAGTTTGTATATTGGGCAGTGTTGTTGGTTGCAGGCAACAGAAACCAACTCTTATTAATTCAGTAGAGAGGCTGCTAAGGGATGGATATTCAGAGAGAGCTGGGCTGGGGTATCTGTGCAGCTGGTGCAGGCAGAGTCCACGTTCCTGTCCCTGCAGGCTGGAGAAGTGCAGTGCTTCCACCTGTTGCCGGATCCCAGGTCCTGGCGCAGTTTTGGACACATCATGGGCACATGGGCCTTGGTATTGAGGGACGAGGTCACTGTCCTGTGGGGCCAGGATGAGGGCCAGGCGAGAGGGGCTCTTAGCTTGGGTACCAAGGGTCAAAGGGCACCAGGAGCTTAGCAATCCAAGTGAGCCACTGTTCCAGTCAGGCTTTTAAGAAATCAAAAACTCACCATAAATCGAATGACAAAATCTCCACGAGAGGGGCTGGCCCTGTCCTTGAGTGGCACTCCCTTTGTGGCCATGGCTTCTGGTACGCCGTCCTCTGTCCCCAGCATATCCCTCTGCAGCCCACCTTGCTCTCAGCTGCCCCCTGAGGCTTCCTGGGG